AGAGGAGCGGTGCTTCAAAGGATAGTTGCAGATTTTTGTCAGAATCTGCAGATTATGCAGTACAAATAAAATGGTCACGTTTCTCCAACGTTGTCTTCCCAGCAGTTTCACCGGATGGCCAGGAAGCGTTCGCGATGTCTTATCGGGCGCTTCTCCGGCGCTGATAATTGGCATCTGTCTTGTGTCAGTGACGTAAAAGACGGATTTAATGCGACTTGACCATTCACACAGCAGTCGCTTTCTGAAACATCGGATATGTATCGGATTCAGTACCACATACGAAAGTGACCCAGATCAGATTTGAAAATATCGGATTTGTGCCGTTCACACTGTCATACCATGATCGGATATGGGTCACATAGGGTCAAAAAAATCGGATTTGATGCGCTTTCGCCTGCAGTGTGAACATAGCCATAATATGTATAACAGCATACATGAAACATCATACTGCCTAAAACTAGTTAAACCAGTCTGAATAAATGAGTCTTCAGCTGCTTCTTAAAGCTGGAGGGGGCCACAGTTCTAAAGGATTTATCCCCCCTGGTCTTAAAATGACTTTGTGGGACCATTAATAGTCTTTGACTGGAAGATCTAAGTATCTTACTATATCTCTTTTCTTTTGTGTGGCTGTCTGACTTGTCTCTGATTTGTCTCCATAGGTGGGCTGACAGTAAAGGTCCGCTGGCTTTGGAGTTCTCGAGTTCGGAGGTGAAGAATCTGGTCCGAGCTTTGTTTCAGAATACGGAGAGGAGAGCTGCAGCTTTGGCCAAAATCAAATAGATTCTTGGAAATAAAAAAAAAATCCCAACAAGATACTACAGCACTTTTCCACTGTGGAAATAAGGACTCTTTGCCTTTATTCATTTCTATTTTCTGTTATTTGCATAAAATATAAACATTTACATGTATACAGGCTGAACAGCTCATCACAGAAATGGTTGAGGTGTTGTCACTGGGGATTTATTACTCCCCAGCCCCCTGAGGTGTAACCAGAACCTTGCCCTCCATTGACACATGATGCCGTATTCAGGGTAACTTTGCTGCACTTCATTAATCAAACTTACTGATGTGATTTCAGGAGTTTATTTGTTTGAACCTAAGCGCCTCTAAAGGACCATTATGTTGTGAAAGACCTGCTCTGGACCTTGGACTTAGTATTGCAAATTATCTTGTTCGAGCAGTGAAACTGAATTTTTCCATGTGTGTCTGTGTGTTCTGATATAACTTATCCAAATAAACCAAAACACTCAATTTTTTTCGAGACCTTGTCCAGGCTGTTCTTGATGAATAGAAATGATGAGTGTTCTTGGTGATGGGTCTTGCCATCATACAACTTCACAATGCTCAGTATGCAGAGAATATAGTAGCAGCTTATTTTTTGTAAGTTCCATTCGTTAATTTGATCCCTGTATTGTATTCGGTCGGGTCTGTGTTTCATTTACAGCTGCCACCACTGATAGATGACCTATAAAACAGCCTTAAGTGTCCATGCTTTTGTGGAACTTTTTCCAGCGTCATTTCAACAAATCGCTTTACAAAAGTTAAAGAAAACTGTATACACCCAGGTTTTATTATATTCAAGGCTGATTAAATAGGGTGAGAGTATCTGGGCTGAAATGTTCCAAAAACTGTTGCAGGCTTTTGAATGCACCGTGAATCATATTAGGTTTGTGAAAGCAGACTGTAAGAATGGAAAAACATTGTCAGTGTTTGTGCTCTGAACGATTGAGGGGGAGGAGACAAACAGCTGCATAGCTCCACAGCAGCAGCTCTTCACTCTAAACTCTCTCCTCCTCCATTTGATTACCCCGATGAGCTGAAGGAAGTTACATTATACCAGCAGCAGCGTTCATCTTAAGACATGCTTTGCAGAGGTATGTGGGGTTTTCACGTTTTCAGTAAATAAATCTGAATATGTGAACTCAGTCTATAAGACATTAATACTGTCTTTGCTTTCTTTATCTAAACTTACTCAGTTACTTGTCCTGTATTTTAAGCAATAGAAAACACAGATACACTGTTGTCTGGTATTTATGTAATGCTTGTTTTCACAGGAATCTAAATTAAATTAATTTTTATTCATAATGATACATTTGGATTAATTTGGTTAACTGATTGATTGGATATGGAAAATGTAAAAAAAAAAAAAAGTGAAAATTGAGGGAAACATCAAAGATTACCTGTCAAAACCAACAACAAAAAAACAGTCTAATGTGGGTGAATTATTTTCTGCCAGTACCCTTATTGATTAAACTGCGCTACATATTCTACTTTCCAATGAATATCCTGGAAATAACTCATTAAAAATTTAAAAATACATGCATACTGTACTTGTCGACTTACTTCAGGTTTTCGTTGCCTGGAGTAGCAGTCAGTCTGAGTGCCCCAATCAGGTCAGCTTAGCATAACATGGAATATTTGGCAATGTAATTCTTTTTACTCAAAATATTTTTTGACTAAGTATTAACATATTGTAAATATAGTTACAAAAAACATCACAAGGACTGGTTACATTGAAAATGAAACAAAAAAGGAAGAAAAAAAAGACTAAAACCCATCCACAACAGTTTAACATGTATGGAAATGACTATTGTTTATATAAAACCTCTAAAGTTACAAAGTTGTAGAAGATAATACTAATTGAATATCAATCTGTATTTCCACCATATTTGTTTATACTCTTGCACCTTACAAAATGTCTGGACTGAGTTCATAATTAAGCTTCATATTAAATTATATTGATTGTAACTGGCTATTGTAACACAGTATTTTTTTTATCATTGTTAAACTATATAAACTACTATATTTTATAATAGTTTACTTTTTATTTATAGACTACATCTTATTTGACAATTATCACATATGGCTGATGCTTATTTTTAAAACAAAAATCTTGCTAAGTTTGTTTATATTATCAATACAACACGTGAGATATGCGACACCCTCATCTACAAACAGCTACTAGTTGCTCAAAATCCTTAAGCAACTCTAAAGCATAAATGGGCTAAAAAGATTTAAGATTGTAAGTTGTTATTTGTTTTGGAATGTTTCCTTGTAGTAAAATCCTGTCTCCCTGACTCATGTTGCTTGATAGCTGTAAATGTATTACACAGATGGGGCACACATGTAGTCAAGATGAATTTTGGCCACATCTGGACACTACTTTCTAGATTTAAGCCTTCAGGCAAATACAGTTGGTAATCTTCTCAAATCCTTTGTATTCTTTGGTGTAGTTCAGATTAATTTTAAGGATTAGGACAATCCCTGCATGTGCAACAAGTTGCAGCGGTGACTGATCAGCCCACTTCAGACAGATGAAACCTGCTGTTATGCTGATCTGAATCTGAGGTCACCTCGTGAATCACCTGAATATAAATAGAGGATGACCTGGCAGCATGAATAAGTAAATACATAGTTAAAGAATAAATATATGTTCTTAGTCCTTTTTTTTAGATTATATTGTTTTATGTATTTTAATAATAAAGGCCTGTAAAGCAAGGCCAGCTTTGACTCATAAACCAAGTGCTCAGCCAGACTGAAAAACAGGAAGTTTAGTGCAGAGCTGCAGAGGCATATACAGGAAACCAGACAGAACTAAGTAGGAACTAAGTAACACAGAAGGAGTTGTTTTTATCGAAACTATGTGTGACGTGTAAAGGACCAAAATAACACAAACCATTTTTGGTTTCTAACGCTAGAGATCTGCAAAATGGCTTTGGGCTGTGCATGTCTCTCTCTTCCGGAAGATGATTAAATAAAATAATTATAAATAGTTTGACTGAGTCGTGTTCTCTCTATTCAGTAAAAGGATGACAAGAACCAGATTTATTATTTTGATTGTTGTTTTAAATTAATTTAAATTACTTTAGAATGGAAGTTTGGTTTCAGCCAACAACCATGTCATGTCTGAAGTCACACATATTACCTTTCTTTTTCACTGTGATGCTTGGTTTGGTTTCTGAACGTCTACACGACTAGAGCCATTGGTTTACTCAACCACTCTGTTCTGTGTACACTAACTCTCCCCGACAATAAAGCATGAACTGTGTGCAATGTTGAATCATTGTTGGCCACATCACATCATCCATATCCACATTTTTCTGCAATATTTTTGGAATATTGTGAATATTATGTAATATTTTCTGCAATTTCAGGTTGCAGATAAATTCACTTTGATCCATGATGATCACTAACTGCTCGTCACCCCCACCATCCCAAGAGGGGCCTCAGTGTCCACCTGAGAGTTCCTCTCAGGTGTTCGCTCCAGCTGAGCATGAGGTTCATCAACAGGACGTCATCCAAGAAACTCCTCTAGAATCAGTAGAAGACACCTTGAAATCTCTGCACATGCATCGTAACAAACACTTTAAACGTTTGAGCTCTCAATGGCAATCAACCTTCAGGGGCAACATTGCTCTCTCTCCAACAGAGAAGCGGCACAGTGCTAAGAGCTTCAGGAGGCGCTGCAAGCTGCTGGGAGACGAGCAGCCTCTATGTGTCACTACCAACAATCAGCGCCAGCGTTACGTCACCAAGGACGGCAAGTGCAGGGTTAATCTGGGACACATTAAAGACAAGAGTCGCTTCATTTCAGATATTTTCACCACATTAGTAGATCTTAAATATCTCTGGTTCCTTCTCGTCTTCACTGCCTGTTACATCCTCACATGGATGTCCTTTGGTGCAATCTACTTCTTAGATGCTTGGCTACGTGACGACATTGCACACGCCCATGACTCCCAGTGGCAGGCATGCTTTGAAAATGTGGACAGCTACCTCGCAGCCCTGCTGCTATCTCTGGAGACCCAGAGGACTATTGGGTACGGCACCAGGAGGGTAACAGCTAATTGTCCTGAGGGTGTGGTGCTCCTGATGGTCCAGTCCATCACCGGCTCCATTATCGATGCCGTGATGGTGGGCTGTATGTTCGTTAAAATCTCCCGACCACAGCAGAGGGCCCAGACACTGATCTTCAGCAAACACTGCGTCATCTGCGAGCGTGACGAGAAGCTTTGCTTGCTCTTCCGCATAGGTGACCTTCGAGAGAGCCACATGGTGGACGCCAAGATCCGAGCCAAGCTGATCAAATCCAGGCAGACCAAGGAGGGAGAGTTCATCCCACTGGAGCAGACAGAGATCAATCTGGGCTATGACACTGGAGGAGACAGGCTTCTCCTGGTAGAGCCCCAAACCATTGCCCATATCATCAATGACAGTAGTCCCTTCTGGGAGGTGGGGGCCAAGCGCTTGAAGAGGGAGACACTGGAGATTATCGTTATCCTGGAAGGCATTGTGGAGGCATCAGGTTTGTAGAAATGTGGTGCTTGTGCTGTTTAATATGGATACAGCTACGTTTACAACTTTGCATGTTTGTCATTTTTGAAAAGAGCTAAGTATGTGTGTTATTATTAAACTGGGATTTTATTGCTTGTTGTGATGTTTACTGGTTGTTTTGTGATGTTACAGTAACACGTACAGTAGCATAGATCTTCATAAAGCTGCTTTGTGGTAGTTTTTTGCCGTTGTTTGAGTGGTTGGCAAACTGAAACCGACTAAGAAAAAGGTTACTGTTACTGTTCACCATCTAAAATATTAATAAATTTGTGTTTATAAAAAAAACTTTATTCTTATGGCTCAGAGCTAGCTAAAGTGCATAAATGCACAGAAAAAGATGTGCTTTCATGTAAACTTGCACACAATAAAGTTATGTCCTGATAAAATCTGTTGGATCTTTTTCCAATAAAGTGACCGGTTCCTAACCCGCTGATGCTTTTCTGCAGGTATGACATGCCAGGCAAGGACATCCTACACACAGGATGAGATTCTGTGGGGTCACCGATTTGCTTCGTGCATTTCCCTGGAAAAAGGAGCATTCCTTGTGGACTGCAGTGCGTTTGACAAAACCTTTGAAGTCGAAATGTCTCCACTCAGTGCAAGAAACAGAAGCCATGCAAAGGATGAGGAATCTATATTTTAGAAACTGAAAACAGGTCTTATTTGTGGAAACTAAGAATCTGCAGTTGTAGTAATTTTATCTACTTTCTTGATGTGGAAAGTTAATTATTTTGCTATGTAAGTAGGTGAACCGAGTAATTTTCAATGATCTATTAAATTTTAAAGACAAACATGGCTTTCATACCTCTTTTTGTACACCAGCTGTGACATTCTCTGAAGTAATGACAATCATATTAATGAATATAAATCTCAGGGAGGCCATAATTTCTGTTGTTTTCCTTGTTGTATGTTTTGACATAACATGGTGTCTGATTTATTTCAAATCAAGTAAAATAAAATGTATCCTCTTTTTTTGTTCTTCATCTTTTAGTTGTTCCTTTTAGGGGGCACCATAGTGGATCCTCCATCTCACCCTATCCATAGCATCCTTTTCTGTCACACCAATCCCTATGCATGCATTTTCTCTGTGTGCTTCCTCATTTTCAGCATCCTTTGTCCAATATATCTACTATCCCTTCTTCTGCATTTGTCCAAATCATCTCAGACTTGCCTCTAACTTTGTCTCCAAACTGCTCAGCCCCCCTGATATTCTCATTTCTAATCCTGTCATTCTGCTCACTCCCAATGAAAATGTTTAACATCTTCAGCTGTCTCACTTCCAGTTCAGCCTCCTATCTTTTTCTCAGTGACACCAGCTCCAAGCCATATATCATAGCAGGTCTCACTACCATCTTGTAAATCTTACCCTTTACTCCTGCTGCTATCCTTCTGTCACAAATCACCCCTAACACCGGCCTCCACCTATTCTACCTTGCATGCACTCTTTTTTTCACCTTTCTTGTCCCCTCTCCATTGGTTTGGATGGCTGACCCCGGGTACCTGACCTCATCCAGGCATTCTCTGTTAAACAGTCTGGTCAAAAAGTCCATTGCTCGCTCTACTAGACATCTCCATACCTCTACAGGTTGTTATCTGGACCATCCGGCTTTCCACTTTCATCCTATTCATAGCTGCCCTCAGTTCCTCTTTACTAATGATTCACCAACATTGCTTCATATGTCCTGCTCTCACTGTCACTTGTCTGTGGTCTTGTCTAGGTGAATAGAAGAGTAGCATGGCAAATCTAAATTTAAAGGTCCACCGTTGTTTGGTGATTTTTGAACTGTGCGCTGTTGGACTCAGGCCGGATTATTTGCCCAGGGATTTTACCCATGTAATCTTGGTGGCTGTTTATGTTCCTCCCTCTGCTAACCCCACTGCTGCATTTGACATTAGCACTCTGTCATAGCCCAGTTACAGACTCAGCACCTGAGTGAGGGCAGATCCCATGAGTTGGATTTGTTTTCAACAGATTTGACACTGCAGTAAATGCCCCCCCCCCCCCACTGACCTACCTGTAGTTAGCCTGCAATCCACTGCCAAGCCACTCACTCTCTTTCTCTCTACACATTGCACCATAAAATCTTGAGAAAATCCTGACACCCCTCCCACACCTATCGTTTTCGATCGTGACCAGGTTCAAAGAGAACAGAGAAGACTCCACTCAGGCAAGTCTGCTCGACCCTTGTCCTCAAGGCCTGTGCCCCCAGCTTTGAGGAGTCTTTCATTAACTGTTCATGGTGAATCTGAGCCCGCAGAGTGGAAGATGTCACAGCGGCCCCCGGGATTACAGACCTGTGGCACTGACTTTCCACGTCAGACCCTGGAAAGACTCCTCTCTGACCATTCCCAAACTATTATCAGGATCCCCTTCACAAACTGCATGCTATGTTTACTCCAGTTAACTTTGTCTTTATGTTTTATGGACAACAGATGGAAATTAGCCCTTGGCTATAATCTGGTATGTTTACATTCATGTAATTTTTTTACATTTATGTTCATTAACATGCACTGTCCTAAATAAATTAAATTAATATTAAAATTGAATTGATGATCTGAAACATTTAAGTGTGACCAATATGCAAAAAATAAAAATAATAATCATACATATATTTTACACAAGAGTTTACATTACATTTGTCCAAGGTTCAGCAAAAGGAAGATTAATTTAATGAGCAGTAACACTGGCGGCGTTTTACAGCCCCACCTCGGTAGATGGCGCTAATGCGCGTGAATACAAATATAAATCCAAGAAGTAATGTCGGAAGAACAGCATGATGGGATATGAGAGTCCTCCGGCGGCGCGTTGCCGCCATGTCTCCTAGAGAAAAACATTTATTGCTTCTCTCTGCTCTAGGCCTAGTTATTCTCGCTTTTTATTATATTCCCACTTTTCTTTATGTGACCTTAATTCTTGCAGTTTGTTGTATTGTCTGTTATTATCATAGCGGAGAACCGCTTCCCGCCAGGTTAGGCCCGAATCCTCGGGGTGGGCTAAACGTTCCGGCCGTACTGCGGCGCTGGCTGTGGGGCTGGGAGGCGACCGGCGTCTCGGTACCCGCACGGGGGAGAGCGAAGAGCAGCGGCAACAACAGAGCCGAGCTCCGGGAATCAGAGGGACACTTAAGTCAAAGACTCGCTGAAAGCGGAGTTTATCGAAAGGAATCCTTATCAAGCGAGTCTTTTCTTTTTAGCCCTCGGGATTTTCTCATGGGGAGTTACATCGGGAAACCGGAGAGCCCAACCGCCGACTCGGGGAGGCGGAGAGCCGTGAGAAATCCCCGAGAGCAGCTCCGGGAAAAGCTGGCCAGACCCAACCACGCCGTCTATACTCCAAACAGAAGGCTTTCATTTGCTGGGTATGTTCAGGCTAAAATCAAATCAATCACATCTCGGTTTTACCGGCGTAATACAGCCCGGTCTTTTTGAATGGAGGCGGTTAAGTTGTTGGAATTCAAAAGGTTAAAGGTGCAGCTTGGCGGTTTTTAATGACTAACCTTCGAGTCGTCAGAGCGATCTCTGTAGCTCCACACAGCTATCCAAATGTGCTACACGTTACTGCAACCCTATGCGTATATATCTGTACAGGTTATGTCATGTGCAAGAGTTTCTCATTACAGTAATTTACTACTAATATAGTACCGGCATTTCCAATCTGTGAACAGTTATGACAGAAAACTTGAATTGTTGGCCATATAAATTACTTTAGTACTGAAAAGCATATTTAGCAGGTTTGCTGTATTGGCAATGTAGTAATGTATTTGGAAAGCATTAGACTTTTACCTGACAATCGGATTTATTTCCGCTATCGCCCCAACCATTATAGAGACTGACGAATGGTATTTGACATGAAATATCAGAGACAGGAACACAAGTTCACGTTTTCTGTAATATTAGTGAGTATTATATGTTTGGGTTTTCCCAGAAAAATCTATTATGGCCATTTGTGGGATTACGAAAAGCAGACTTTCAGACCCTTCATTTTGCCTTGGCCTCTAATTGTTCTGTCCTGCAGGGAGACACCGGGAGCAGCGAGCAGGTTCACCATCACACCCCAGCGCCACTACCCCTTGCAGCAGCCGGGTGTCTCGTCAGTGGGAATCCTTCCTCCCGTCAAATGGGACGGTTTCAGAAAGAAAAACATCCTCAGCCCTCGCAATTCCCCGGCTGCCCTCAGCCCTGTCACAGTGAAGATCGCCAGGCCTGACCACAGCTCCCCCAGGTCTCTGTGCGATCTATGCATTACAGTGTTTCAGTCTAGATCATCAGCTTGAGTCAGATCTCTTTAAACTCTAACATAACCTGTTTTAAGAGATTAATGTCAAAACCCTTTTGATAAAACGTTTGTAATGGCTGTTTACCTTTCTTTTGTTTCAGCATGGACCATTTGAGTTATGCCGTTCTCCCCAGAGCGCCTGCCGATCCGTGCTCCAGAGAGAGTGTCCTCAAGGTGCTGAAGGAAAGCCGCAAGAGAGAAGTGGATGACGAGGACAGGAGCTTTACAACTGAGCAGAAAAGCAAAAGAAGGTACGAGGCAGCACATGAATGCTGACAAGCTTTATATTTTTGCCTTTTTATGTAGCTTGGTGACACTTTTTATTTTATTTTTTTGTCTGATAGCTGTAAGGTTATTATAGTAAACTAAAAGGTATAAAAACATTTCAACTGAAATAAATTTAAAAAATAGACTGGGAAAAAAAAGGACTTCCTGTACTCGCACAGCAAACCTAAGACATAAAAAGTATCATGTGTTTTGTTTAAACCTTCTTGGTCTGTAGGTAATGCATAGTGTGGTTATTAGCAAGGCTACAGAAAAACAGCCTGTTGATGCTTTTAGTTGTCTCGGTCTCTTAGCTTTACGGACAGCTGCAAACAGAATGGATGAATAGCTTTTTCCTATTAACACCATTTCCCAGTCCATTTGTGGTGCACTTGGAAAGCTCACTCTTCTAATGTAATGTTCCAACAAAATATACACTCCCACATGGGGCCTTGCATTCTTACGAATGCATATAACATCTGCATTATAATGCTGTATTCATTTTTTCCCTTTTTCCCCCCAATAATTTGAATAGATACAGATCACACGTACAAATGTGGCCTTAAAGTCTTCTATAAATACATTACCGAAGCTCAAATGCAGTTTTGAGTTACTGGATGCCAAGAAAATTGGAAATATCACTAACACTTAACACAGCACATTTTACATAGGTTTTCTCTAGGGCTGGGCTATATCATACCGTTCACGGTAATACCGGTGTAATTTTGGGCAACGATAGGAAAATGAAATATCACGATAGAATATGGGTAAAACACGCGTGCGTAGTGCCTTTGTTTACATACGCACATGGCGACGAGGCAGAATGAGAAGAGCGAAAGTGGATCGTTGAATGAAACGGATGAACCAGAATTGGTTTGTAAAAATGCTGCAACCTAAGTGGTGTGGAACTGGTTTAGCTTTCGTCCGTCAGATACACAAAAAAGCACTATTTTTGGTAGAGCATGTTAGCGGGCCGTCGTCATCACCATGTTGTTTGGAAAATACGGCACACTTAAAATCAATCCTTTGATTTTTCTGAAAATCAGCAGTGCCCCTTATAATCCCGTGTGCCTTGTGTATGAATTCTGGTTGTGTTTACTGACCTCGAAACGATTTTATGTACACAGCGCTCGAAAATCTGTCAAATGTTTTAGTACGACTAAGCTACGAACCCACACCGCTTAATTGATTGTCGGAGCATTACGGCTTTGTTAGGCAGGCGCCTCGCGGAGTGATACGTACTGTGCTTCA